GAAATCATGATAAAAGTTGCTTATGATGTCATTCTCTATTATTTTGTTCCTATACATGATTTCCCTTAAATTGACCTAATTCGAGATATTTGAGGAAAGGTGCCAATTTTGAATTTTAAAGATAACTTAAAAACGGATGAAGAGAAAAACACCAAATTTTAATCTTAAGCTTTAATTCATCCTACGGTGAGCTGATTAAAGTTTGGGAATAGTCAAAGCAACTGGGGAATACTTTACAGCAATGGTCGCCAACCTCTCAATGTGTTAAGCTACTTTGTTAATTTTGGAATAAACAGCGAGCTACCCACACGGAAGCTACGTAACGCAACGTAAATGAAATAATCCACAGTTAATTTATCATTATATGTATTTATTTTACTATTTAACTGGTAATTACATAATGCATAGGTACTAATAATAAACTAATAACAAAATAACTAATATTACTAGTACGTACTTGTTCATAGCTACATTCCTACCTACCAAACGAAGGTGTTTGAAAAATAAACACAAACTTTTATCCAGCCACAACGGCATGTCACGTAAGATTTAAAAATAGTAAATAATAACAACAAAAAAGTAACGCACTATCATGAACATAAAAATTGAAAAATAAAAAAGCACGTTCAATGAGAAGGCTGACACTCAGACTCATCGATAATTTTTTTAATGTTTGCAGTATAATTTGATACAGCCATTCGAATAAAATTATCCAAATGTTCATTAGTTAGTCGATTGCGATATTTGTTCTTAATAAACTTCATATTGGAAAAAGAAGATTCACACAAATAGGTTGAACTGAATAATGCTTTCACTTTCAAGGTAACACGGCATAGAACTGAATATTTGTCTTTACTTACAATAGGCCACATACATTTGGTACTTGAGACTACCGATTTTAAGGCTAAATCATTTTGAAACTCAATTACTTCCATTTCTGTTGCAGCGATGTCTTCGCCAAAGTTCTGCATAACACAAGTTGCAAACTGTTGGATATCAATTTCCATAAAGGGTGAAACAACAAACTGCGCTACTAAAGCCATTTCGTTGAAATCCTTAAAACGATTTTTGAAGTTATTCTTCAGGGTAGAAACTATTTCTACATGATATTTGCTGTCATACGGTTCTAATGGATTTTAAAATATTTTTTCTGAAAGAATAGGAAAATGCTTGGCATCGCTGTTAATTAGGTTTTGTTCCCAAAACTCCAGCTTTTTGATAAATGCTTTTATATCAGAAATCATTTCCGCTAGTTTTTTGTCTCTCCCCTGAAGCTGCAAATTAAGTTCGTTTAATTTCTTTGTAATGTCCACGAGAAAACCAAAATCTCTAAGCCAGATTGAATTTTCTAGTTCCAGAGTCGGTTCATCGCGTTGTTTGAAAAATTGAACTATGCCAGATAGGCCATCATTAAAACGTTTCAGCACCCGTCCTCTACTTAACCATCGGACTTCAGAGTGAAGGAGTAGGTCCCCGTATTGACAGTCAACTTCATCGGCCAAGGTTTTGAATAATCTTCTCTGTAACGCTTGAGCTCTAATCTTGTTCAAAATTTTTACCACCAGTTTCATAACGTTGTTTAGTTTCAGGAAATTTTCACATAATGCTTGCTGATGGATAATGCAGTGGTAACAGAGAAATTGCGGAAAAGTTTAATCTTTAAGACATAACGCCACCAGACCCTTATCACAACCCACCATAGCTGGAGCGCCATCGGTTGTCAAGCCTACCATTTTCAATATTGGAATTTTCTCGGAAGAAATAATATTTTTTAAATGAGAACACAACTCCTGTCCAGTAGTGTCCTTTTAGTGGAATAAACTTCAAAAGATCTTCTTTAATCGTAAAATCACTAAAAACCATCCTGACGAACACAGCCATCTGGGCAGTATCAACGACATCTGTTGATTCATTCAGTTGAAGTGAAAAATAAACAAAGTTATCTAAGTCAGTTCTTAACTGTAAAAAAATATCATTTCTCATTACTTCTAGACGTCTCATCACTGTATTAGCAGAAAGTTGCATAGATTTTATAGCTGAAACTATCTTGTCTTTATTTCTAAAGTTGGCAAATAACGAATCAGCAGCTTCTAAAAACGCTTGTTTTATCATTACCCCGTCTTCATAAGGTTTCTTTTTTTGTGCAATTATTTGGGACACACGGTACGATGCTTCAGTCGCAGCCTTATTTTTGTCGACTGTTCTTAAAAATATTGATTGTTGTCCAATTAACTGCTTTTTTAACTGTTTCAGTTTCTCCTTTCTGGCGGCAGAATGTAGTGGGAATGATTTTTCAAAATTAGAATGTACATTTTTATGATATCTCTCAATATTTCCTTTTTTAGCAACGGAGACCGAAGTATTACATAACAAACACACATTTTCATCTTTAACTTCTGTAAAAAAGTATTGTTCTTCCCATTCCGAATGAAAGTGGTATGTCTTTACCTTCTTACAACTGCTTGCCATAATATTATTTTTTGTTGTTCTCTACTAACCCAACCGCTGAACGTTGGTTACGCGTTCAGTTTTAAACTAAGGGCAATGTCGCCGCGCCGTGCGTATTTATCCCGCTCAAAGCAATCCTGATCGTTCTCGAACACTAATGCGCTGGTCCGGCTGGTCGGTTCTAGCCGATTCTAGCTTGATGGTGTCAGCAGCAGATCGATTACCGCAACGTTGCCGCTGTTTATGTTTAATATTATGACAATTAGATTTTTTTGTGGAATTTTCGGAAGCTTCTCTGATTTTTGCAGTTTGTATTTTTTAAATTAAAATCGTTGTGAGAGCTACCAGAATTGCCTCCGAGCTACCGGTAGCTCGCGATCGACAGGTTGGCGACCACTGCTTTGCAGGGTGTCGTTTTTTTTTAATTTAAGAAAATAAATAGTCTGTACCGTATTTTCTTAGGCAACCCATTTGCGGTATATTTATAAACATATTTTATTTAATAAAAAGAAACTTTCATCCATTAAACAGATGGGTGAAGGTCGAAATTACTTCGGATCTTAGACTATTAATAGAGACTGGCGTTCCATTTTAAATATACAGTTCACTAGGAAAAGATTATTTAGATATACACCGACCGGAAAAATAAGTACGAAAAAAATTCACTGTCTCCTGGATTAATAGTGTATCGAAGGAATTTTATGAATGAAACAAATCTACGACCCAATTTACAAATACTACAATAACGGTCGAGCCTAGTTACGCTGTCGTCAGACGTACATTTTTCTTGGATAATTTAAAGACAACAGTATTGCAAGCAAACATTACTACAGGTGAAAACATCGCAAATTTGGCATTAATGTTTTATCCAAATATTACATTTCTGCCGAGGATCATCCGCGTTGCCTTCAGAAATTTTGTTAATAATCATATCTATGGTAATAACCTTTGATGGCCTTTTTCTGGCATAACTGAGAGCGTCTGCTCAAAAATAGCGACCACTTCCAATGGTAGACGCCTACGATTTCAATTTCAATTAGGATTTTAGATCATTTTCATAAAACATTTATGTTGGTAATCATTGGGTAGATATGAGCGATTTTTTGTATTTTTAAATCTAATAAAGCTACCACTTACGGACAGACGGAGGGTTTTAATATAACCCAAAGTAGTACCGAGATATTAATTCAAACCTATGGTAACTTATGAGGTAGTTATTTTACTGCCAGCTCTCTTTAATAGAATAAAAGTCACACTTATTTAAATATAAATAAATTTATTTACATTTTTACAAAACAACTTGTAATAAAAATAAAAAAATAATAACAAGATCAGTCAAAAACTTAACGTATTCAATAGTGAACCAAACTTTTTTATTTGTACCTGTATAAAAACCTTTTCGCTAAATATAATGCAGAATTAAATACTAAATAATAAAATCATCATTAATAGGCCAATAATTATTTGGCTAATACACATATTTTGTTTTCTATTTTGGTATTAAAATAATGTAAACTTTATTACAAAACAAGACTACCCTGTATAAGATAGGCTACTGTATCTTCATAGAAATTGTTTTTTTTTATATATATTTAATAAATAAATAGGTCTACTGCATCTGTCAGCTGTAACAAACTTTTTCTGGATTATAATGGGAAAAGGGTACTTAATCTGAACTGAAAATCTATTAATCTTTACGAAAACTAAACACAAGTTTAATGGCAACATGGCACAGGTTCCCTTGATATTTAAATTAACATTGATATTTACTGTAATTGGTTCATTTTTGAATAAGATCTACTAACTTATATGTAGGTATCTATAAATTTAAACAATAACTATTTTCTTTCGTTTTATGGTCATTCTCACAAATTTTGTTTTTTTATAAATGTGAATGTGATAATTGATTAAAGTTATTTTATAAGCAATTTTTTAATTTCATAAAATATTTAACAAATTTTATTCAATATTAATTAAAGCAATAATTATAAATATAATCATTATTCTCCATAAATTCGGTTGCACGAATTATTGGAAATAATAAACAGCTAGAGCACAATCAACGGTATGACCTGCTTACCCAGCAGATCTAACAATGAATTTCTTAAACAAAAATATATTTAGACGAAAAATAAATCAAAACTCAAATGTGGATAGACGTAAATGCAATAAATTGAATTTAGCTCAAAGCCAATATCACACAAAATATAACGACCGTCTCTCCTTCAAAAAACAACTACTCCTTTGGCTTATACCGCAACAGGCATTGAATTACATCCGAAGGAAAGACAGCAGAGATAGAAAATTAATTTTCAACACTCTCTACTTTGATTTTGCTCACCAAGGAGAAATTCATTCTTGGACCGGTTTAGTCCTTATTAGGACTCCTCAGCAAGAAATAGATAGGTTCTCAATTCCAGTCTCTAATTGAATTAACAAATGCTACACATTTTATGGTATACTGGTGAAATGTGTAGCATTTGTTAATTCCATTAGAGACTGGAATTGAGAACCTATCTATTTCTTGCTGAGGAGTCCTAATAAGGACGAAACCGGTCCAAGAATGAATTTCTCCTTGGTGAGCAAAATCAAAGCAGAGAGTGTTGAAAATTAATTTTCTATCTCTGCTGTCTTTCCTTCGGATGTAATTCAATGCCTGTTGCGGTATAAGCCAAAGGAGTAGTTGTTTTTTGAAGGGGATACGGTCGTTATATTTTGTGTGATATTGGCTTTGAGCTAAATTCAATTTATTGCAAAAATATATTTCATTAAATGTGTTTCCACTTTATTTATGATTATTTTGTCGTGAGAATAACCTGTTAATCTTTGGACCTTTGAACAAGTATTACGTATTTTCACTTAAAACTATTGTTATCCAAACTGATGTTCAATGATGATCATGGTGATCTGGAGTAGGGAACCACTCGTTGATAATAACCGGCTTCCAAATTACTTTCCAATCCGGAAGCCAAATATCTTTATGGCCAGTAACCCATATCTTCTTCCATGCTTCTTTCCATTCTAGCTTTTTGTCGGGTAACCAAATCTGCTTTTGTTCAATTCGCCAGATCTGTTTCCACGCGGGTTTCCATTCTAGTTTTTTGTCTGTGATCCAGATTTGTTTTTTCTCAGTTCGCCAGATTTGTTTCCAGGCTGCTTTCCATTCCAATTTTTTATCCGAGACCCATATTTGTTTTTTGGCTGGTTTCCAGATTTGTTTCCAGGCTTCTTTCCATTCTAATTTTTTATCACTTACCCATACTTGTTTCTTAGCAGGCTTCCAGTATTTTTTCCAGATAGGTTTCCAAATCATCTTCTTTTTCCATAAATCATGTGCTATAATTTCAGCACCTTCATGATCTTTGCCTAAATAGTGTTTGCCATGTATTGGTTCTTTGATCCATTCCGGAATCCACGCTTTTTTCCATGCAGGTACTTGAATTTCTTTCCAAGCAGGTACTTGGATTTCCTTCCAAACAGGCTTCCATATCTTCTTCCAGTCTGGAACTTGGATTTCTTTCCATGCGGGAACTTGTATTTCTTTCCAAACTGGTTTCCAAATTTGTTTCCAATCAGGAACTTGGATTTCTTTCCAGGCCGGGATTTGTATTGGCTTCCAAACGGGTTTCCAGATTTGTTTCCAGTCAGGTACCTTTATTTCCTTCCAACCTGGTTTTTGCGTTGGGACCCATATCGGTTTCCATATTTTTTTCCATTGCGGTATCCAAATTTGTTTCTGGCCTTTTTTCCATACTTTCTTCCAACCTTTTTTCCATGTTACTTTTTTCTTCCAATAACCTGGATCGTGGTGTTCATGGTGGTCATGATGTACGTCGTGGTGTTCATGGTGGACATGCTGTACATCGTGGTGTTCATGGTGGACATGCTGTACATCGTGAGGCTCGTGAATATCGTATGATTCTTGAACGGCATGAGAATTGTCATAGTTATGAGCATCCAAGCCTTGGTCGTAAAGTGCGTGATCACCGTATCCTTGTTGGAGGTCTAATCCTAGATCTCCTCCTCCTCCGGATGGCGGTTCAGCAAAATCACCGTAGCCTATCCTTTTTTGGGCAGTGCTAAAAAAATATAATGAATTAATAGATGGTTCTTTAAATAATGGTTCGGATAAAATTATTTTTTGTCATTAAAATGACAGCCGAAAGTTGAATTTTCTTCGGCGCCATTTTAAAAAATGTATCTGTCAAAGTCTACAGAAGAAAGGAATGCAGTAATTTAATTTGCAGAACGTAGTACAGGTTCAAGAGGTAGACATTTTATTTATACCTTATCTTTCAATGCTTATTTTAACACATCTGATTTTTTTATAATAAACCTTTTCTTTTGACAGATAAGTCAGACTTTATTTATGCATAGCCGTATCGTATTAGTATATATTATATTTTTACTTTCCTATCTGTATACAGATATAAGGAAAGTATAGGAATCATGATTTTTTTCGACCTCGAGTTTTCGACGGATTTTTACGTTTTGAGGTCCCCTGAATCCGTTTTGACTATTTTCGCGATGATGTCTGTGTGTGTGTGTGTGTGTGTGTATCTGTGTGTGTGTGTGTGTCTGTGTGTGTGTGTGTGTGTGTGTGTGTGTGTGTGTGTGTGTGTGTGTGTGTGTGTGTGTGTGTGTGTGTGTGTGTGTGTGTGTGTGTGTGTGTGTGTGTGTGTGTGTGTGTGTCTGTATAACGCATAACTCATGAACCGATACACAGAAAAACACCAAATTTTAAACTTAAGCTTTGTTTCAGCGTCCAATGAGCTGATTAGATTTTGGGCAGAGTCGGAACATCTGGGGGGGTACTTTATAGGTGGTCATTTTTATATTTTATGGAATATATCTGTTATTTACGTTTGAAGAAGAAAATTCTTTAAATAAAAGTTACTTCTAATATAATTATCTATAATTTTTGTGTTATGCAAAATTTTCCTAAAATGGTCCGTATTCGAGAAATTTGACAAAATGTAAAAAAATAATTTTTTATAAAAATTGTTCAAATAAAAGTTGTTTGTAACATAATTCTCTAAAATTTTTATCCTATACATAATTTCTCTAAAATGGACCGTATTCGAGATATTTGAGAAAATGTGTAAATTTCGAATTTTGAAGAAAACTCAAAAACGGATAAAGGAAAAAACATTAAATTTTAAACTTAAGTTTTATTTCGACCTGAGGTGAACTGATTAGATTTTGGACAGAGTCGGAACATTTGGGGGGGTACTTTATTGGTGGTAATTTTTATATTTTATGGAATATATTCGTTATTTACATTTGGAGAAGAAAATTCTTCAAATAAAAGTTACTTACAATATTATTATCTATAATGTTTGTTCTATGTCAAATTTTCCTGAAATGGTCCGTATTCGAGAAATTTGACAAAATGTGCAAAATTCTGATTTTTAAGAAAATTGTTAAACTAAAAGTTGTTTGCGATATCGATCTCTATAATTTTTGTTTTTAAATGACTTTTCTAAAATGGACCGTAATGGAAAAATTGGAGGAAAAGTGCTAAATTTAAATTTTTCAATATTTTCGTTTTCAATGAATATCTATAGAAAAATGTTTAGAGGTAGATGTATGTGGAAAATGTATATATTTAGTTTATCCTCTAAACATTTTTAGAGATGCTGCAATAGGTTAACTAGATAGGAAAGTCATGTGTTGGACACATCAGATTTTTATAGTTATATAAGACTGGCAAGTGCATTAGAAAATATTGCAAGCACAAGTACGCGTAAACGACTTAGTGGACATAAACCATTATCTTTAGAAAAATATATTTTTCTTTCAAACGTTTAAATCAATTAAATAATAATTGTTAGGTAGCTTGGGTTGGTTAAGAAAAATGATACTAATATTTTTAACTATGTATTTATAGAAGTCATTATTTTCAAATATTTAACAAAAATTAAAAATAAATCACAAAAAATAAGGCCTGATGATACAGGCGACTTCGCAAAAAAGAATTAAAAAATCGTCAGACCTAAATCCTTGTAAATTTTTATTTATTTGTTCATTTTGAGTTTTTAATTTCTATAGATAGTTCTATATGTAAAAGTATAAATTTAAGAAATATTTTGTATACTTTGACAGCATTTGTTTATTATATAAGAAGATCAAGCTTATTAACAAGACAATAAAAATATTAATTATTGAATATAAGGAAATATTAATTTCGGAATAGTAGTAGTAATCTGTCAGCATGGGATTGACAAATAGGAAAAAAAGTTCTTTGTATTTTATGTTGGAAATGGGGTGTTTAATAGACTACGACCTAAAAGATCTAGTGAGCCCCTTTTCTGTCGCTATTGCAGCAAGGAAAAATCCTTTGTATCTCACAGTGTTATTTTTAAAGCAATCTATTTTAAAATTTCATCTTCAGGCATACTATAACATATCCATTATTAGATCTGTCTCTTCGGTATAATTAAATATAATGATAATAATCTAGCACAAACATTTATTATGTTAGCAGCACGGATATATAATAAAATAACTAAATAATTCAATTATCGAGAGAACCAAAACAATATAACAAATAAAATTTAAAGGCATACGACGATAAATTAATTTCACCTTGTTGCTGGCCGAATAGAGACATCCCTTTGCAATGAAGAGTCGTTTTGGGTGTTTTCATTGACAAGACCACCTTTCGCAACATAATACACTCACTAAAAAACAGGAATGTTCCACAGACGGTTAGAGGCTAGATACATAACGTACTCTCAAAGCAATCAGTAAACATACGTGTAGAACATGTAAATATACGTGGCTTGGTCTACATAATAGCGTATGCAGATGATCTGGTCATTCTGCAAACAGGGAACTTTGAGAACACACTTTGCGAAAGAATGCAAGTACCTCTTAGAATTATAGAACAGTGGTGCAACGACCATTTTAACTCTATCAATCCCAAGTTTCTTTTCATAATAATTATGAATATGGAACCAAAATCTCCAGACTTTGCAACAGAGGTGAAGTACCTAGGTTTCACCTTTGACAACATAACATGGAAGTGACATCTAGAACAGATAGTTAAAAAGACATATACATGAACTTACACGGCTATCATAAGACCTTTGTTAATATACGGTGCAGTTGTATGGGTTTCAAATAGCCATTCGCAAGCTAGAACAAATTCAAGGAACATAACAGTAGCCATGAAAACCACACCAATCAGAGCCATGGAGATCATTGTTAGTTTCACTTCTTTTGAAATTTATATCAAGAAGATTGCTTTGATGACAATGATACAACCCCGCACTGTTATAATAGAACCTGATGTAGGATCTGCTGAGGCGAAACGTCACTTCTGGCGAAAGGTGCTCGATACGCTTCCACTCTCTTAAACGAACATATCACCAAGATATATCTTTCATAAGCCATATAAAGTTATAACGGACCAAATACAAGAGTGGCTGGTACGATTCATATCTACATCGATGATTCTAAAACAAAATAAAGCCCAGGATGTCGAATATTCTCCGGAAGCTTAAACCTAAACAAAAAATGGGCTGTGGGAAATAGTGCCAGTGTAGTTCAAACCAAGCTCACCGGGTCCCTCGTAGCAGCAAAATAAGTTACCAGAAAAAAATTCACTAGAAGGAACATGCTAATCTATACAGATAATACACAAGCACTACTCTTCCTGGACAGACTACGATTTACTCAGGGTTAGTACTAGATTGTCACGAACCTTTGGCCTAAGTATTCATCAATAATGTGGTCACAAAATGAATCAATAGTCACGCTACACTAACCGGTAGCAGTCTTGCTGATTAACTATCCAAGAAGACAGCCACCAAATACTTTTTGGCATTTTATTGCATTGGCAACATCGGTTGTGACGAACCTAATTAAAGAACATTACCTTGTAAATTTTAAGGAAATATTGGATGAAACAAGAATCTGCAGAGTTACAAAGGAACTTTTAAGTTATCCCGTTATCCCGACAACACATCATGACCAGACAGAAGCCTGGTTATTGCCAAGCTGTCAGAATCGGCACTCTCTAGGGAGTGTGGACAAAAAGATGAGACCATAGAGCATAATCTCTACGGTTGCTCAACACTCTCATTTATTTAAAAATTTGTGTTCCACCAGTATGCGGCCGATATAAACGAAGCACCTCTGGGCGGCGTTGTCAACTACATTAAATGTGTAGCCTGACTGACGAGCTAAGTCCTGAGGTGGTTGCACAATGGGTCTAGTAAGACCTATTTAGAGATACAGATAATTATGTAAATGGTGACAGTATATAATGAAGATGTTATGGTGTGCTTGAAGTTGAATATAAATTTCGAAACCTGCTGCTTTAAAAATAATACTGTGAAGTACAAAGAACTTTTCTTTACCCTTATTTGTTAATAAAAAATATACGCAATCAGAATGACATTTCATATTTTTTTTTTTTGCAAAAGCTTTAAAAACAAATATACTTACTGGTTTGCATCTAGGGTATTTTGTTCGGTTGGTTTTCCTTCGGCTAGAGTTATATGAAGAAGCACCAGTAGGCCAACCTAAAACAAAGAAAATAACAATATTAATTTATGTGTAACATTTTTTTTTATATTTTAAATTTTGAGGAAAATGCATTTTCAGGAATTATATAAACAATAATAATTAATAAATGTAAGAGGGTATCCATTTAAGATCAAATACCACTTATTTTACTCAGAAGTCGGAAACTGGTTTCGGCTTTAAAGTCAAGGTCTACAAACAAGTTTAAAATGAAGAGTAATGTACTAGTAATAAAAATAATGACATAAGTTCCTAAAACATCTCGATGTCGAGGGCTGAAGGTTGAGAGAAAAAGGAAATGTCGTATTGAAGGGTGTTGTTTATGAAAGCAAAATGTAAACGAATATTGTGACTATTATCTAAATATGTGTGAAAATGATTCTCTAATATTTTCTATTCTAATATGACTTAACGACAGTATTAAATCCTAAAGCATCTCTTAAAATATTCGAAATAGATTCGAATGAGATTCGTAAATATCATCCAAAATTGGTTTAAAATTAATCATTCAACGTATAACGAAATAAGGTAGTTTATTTAAATTGAATCGGTCATTTGAAAAAGAAGTCACAAATTTGACCTATTCCAAAAATGACAGATTCTTATTGCTAACACTTCGGTGCACATTTCAACGAGAAATCCCATTAGACTTAGAACTCTTTGTATTAAATTTTCAAATGTCAAAATCTGCTTTACTTGAGAAACCCTTCTGACTAATGGTGTTGCTATAATACTCGTGGCGCACGAGTTAATACAATCAGCTATCGCAGATTGATAGAAATTATGTTAGAAATACCTGTACGATCCGTAGGGATGGAAGAATTAGTTCTTGGATGAAAACATCACTTTCTAATTACATACTTTATTTTAAAATACTACTGAAACTATGGTAATTTTATTCATTTACTAATTACATACTTTTTACACTATATACAGACTTTTCTTCGGAAATTGGTAACTTAAGCACTTAAGCCATCTTGTACACCGCATAACGATGTGTTGTATTTGAGAAGAGTGACGCTTGACGTTGACTAATTAGGAAGTGCCTAACGCCGGTGTTTTTTACCAATGAGGGCGATTTCCGGGTTTGGATGACCAATAAGAGGTAAACAAGAATAATAACGCCTGTGACGTAGCTATTAGACGAAAGACCGTTCTTATTCACCAAGGCAATGCCGCAGAGACGTCTCCAGGATTAAAAGGCAGTGCGGCTTGCAGAAACGTCTCCAGGAATAATAAAGAATTGATAATGAAAGCTTGGCGCAATGTTGAATATAATTCAACAAGCAGGATCACAAGATAAAAAGATATCACTTAAAATAAGTCAGTATGTGCATTTTAAACATTTTTTTGAAAATGAAGGAGTTCTTGTAACCAAATCTTTCATAGATACATTTCAAAATACATAAGTTATGTTAAAAAAATACCCATTAACAGATGAATGATCTTATCAAACTCAAGCAGTATCTTCCGGTACGAGACGTACTTGAATTATATAAAGATAATTATAACTGGCCGACTGTTGATAAAGATAAGGTTTTAAATGAAATTTGAAATTAAATAAAAATAATAATAAAACAACATACTATTTCATTAAAATATGCAGTTTTATTGTTTAAATAAATTAAAATAATATCCGTATATTTGAGAAACCCATGTTATGATTTTTAAAAAAATATTTTGTACTCTTTAGAAAAAAAGCACAAGTTTTTTGATACCATCAAATAGTAAACCAATCTCGCAAAAAAATCAATGCTTTGTCTCTCACACAGACGATTTAATAAAGTTTTTTTTAATTTCCCAAACTTTTACTTTTCTGTTCCTCAACTGACCGATTCAATTATGACTGAGTTGTCGTCAATCTAATGTACTCCATTTTGTAAGTTTAGAAGGATTGATCATAATTTTATTTAGTTTTCAGTTTCTTCACAATACCTAGATCATTTTTCAACACATCGTAAAACGATAGAAGGTGAACTGTTGCAGCATATAACATATAAAAAATAGTAATATTATAAATTATTATTTTTAAATTTTTAGAACAGAGTTCAAATAAGAAAAAATGGAGTATTTAAATATTTCCCCCTCTGTTTTTTCTCCACTGCTCCTTTAAAAGCCCGTTTTTTAAAAATTTATTATTTTCTTTTTAATTCATTTTCTAGATTTCAAAACTACCCAACTTCTTTGCTAAATAAAATTTAAATTTTTACCGTGATCACAATTACCTTTGCTAAGCATTTTCACTACCTGTAGATTTTCCATATCATCATTTGCACATTAGACTCTAGCTTTTATTTCTGATGCAATTTCGATTTTTGACAGAAATAAAGGTGCTTTACTCTTGCACAAAATAAAAAAGTTTTCCACAATTTCGTTCCCTCTTAAGTAGATATACTGTATAAGAATTTGATTACGTTGATGAATTTCCCCGATAATGTGATTATTTTCTATACCTGAAAATAATTTGAGCGCTTGCTCAAAGTCGATAAAATGTTTGTCAACTTCCTGTCCCATTTCCATTGAGTGCTCTGCAGTTATATTCGTAAAATAATTGATTTTTTGCTTTCTTTTCTCTTAAACTCAATTATATCGGTGTTTTTATTCTTTATAACAATAATTTTGTAATTACTAGGCTGCTTTCAGTGCTATAATTGGTTTTAGTATACCTGGACCATATGTTTCTACAGAAATAATTCCTACGTTAAGTCAGTTTAAGTTTCTACAATTTTGACCGTGTAGATGTAAAAAAAATAATTTTTAAAAAATGTATCCGAATAATAAAAAAGTACAGGTGAATTCTATTTGAAAACTGAATATTAGGGGTGGTATGACAAGGGAGGATTGATTTAGCTTCACGATGTAAAACCTTAACATTGAAGACGTTTACTAAGTAACTGAACTGTCAATACCTAATAGATGCGTTTTATTCATCCATTCTCTAGTAGGAAAAGTTTGAACGCAATAAAACGATAAAATTGTCATCTGTCAAGAATGTCAAATATAAAATTATAATTGATTTATCCATTATCCCACCCACAGATATAGTTAATATTAATTTTAAAATGGAAATATTATTACAGAGATATTTCGAAATATTGCAACGTAATAATCATTTGCTATACCTGCACCAAGAATTCAAGTTGACATTATTAGATTAATTATCGATAAGTATGAAGTATAATAGCTATTTGTATCTAAGAGTGGAAAGTGATACTTTGCTGTTTGAGACAGAACGTTGTCGAAAGCGGCAACGAACTTTTTGCTCAAAATCACAATAGGATTTTTTCTACGATCACACTTTTTTGAAAAGTAAATATAAAAACTGAAAATTTGTCATAAGTAGTTTATAATTTGTTGCCTATATTTACGTTATCCATAAAAAAATGAGTTGATATTCAAAGTCAATATTAACTTGAATAATTAAAGAGAAAACATCAAACTAGGTACAAATAACTTCAAAATTATTTAGTTAGAAGAAATATTATTATATTATATCTAATTTAAATTAGGCAAGCGACAAAGCTGCCAAGTTTTCCGCTCGGCGATCGACAAAGCTGTCACTTAATGTCAGTTCAACTTTGCGGTTGAATTTCGAAGCGCAAAAGCCTACTTTGGATAGTGATCGTAGAAAAAATTGAATTTAAAATATTTACTTAGTATAACCAATGATATTATAGCGAAAAATAAAGAGTATAAATAGTACCTAAACAAAATAAATTAAATTTTAGATTGAATTTGTACACTTTCATTTACATTGTAGATAAAATTAGTCCTAACAATCTCTTTTTACAAAGGGATAAACTACTTAGGGGACGGAACCAAGTAACACCTGAGAAGTCATTATTAATACTTTTATTATCATTAGGTACCCCCAGAATCCTATAGAGCTATTGGTGATAGATTTGATGTTGGTAAATCAACAGTTTGTCTCTATGAGGATGGTTACTGAAGTAATTCTTCAAGAATTTGTCTTTTTTATACAGTGGCCTGCTGGAGATAGAAAAACAGAATGACACAAAAATTTTCCAGATACGGTTTGACCAGTGTTACAGGTGCTATAGATGGGTATCACATACCTATTAAACAGCCAAAAATATAGATGGTGAGAAATATTTTAATAACAAAAATTCTATGGTTCTCCAAGCAGTGTGCACCAATGATTATAAATTTACTGATTGTGACATAAAATGGCTAGGGAGTGTCCATGATGCTAGAGTATTAAGAACTTCAGATCTTTATCCTGTAGCTCAAGAAGTATGTGTGGAACAGTACTACATAATAGAGGACTCCACATATCCTATTAAAAAGTGGCCAATTACACCATATAGAAATGATGGCCATTTATTACCGTATCAATTATATTTTAATAAAATAATATCAAAAACCAGGGTAGTTATTGAGAATGCCTTTTCTTTATTTAAAGGTAGATTTAGAAAGTTAGGAGATACAAAAATGTAATGGAAAATATTCCAAAAACTATTATGCTACTGCAAAGTATTTGCATAATTAATGGGAAGAGGACATTCGAAATTATATAGAAGAAGGTTGTAATTAAGAAATACATATTCAAATAATCAGAAATGATAATGACGATAATGATAATCATCTTAAAGAGTTATTATCCCAAGTTATCTGTAATAATCGCGAAAACCTTTAAGAAATTTATATGCTCTTATTTCCATTATATTATCAATATAATTTTTATTGCAATATTTAGAAAATTATTTTAGTAAAAAATACATGTAATTGGGGGATCTACTTTCAAACTATGGGGGTATTAATTCTCTAAAAAATTTCATAAAAAATGTTTGTTTGTATATTTATACTTTGAAAATAAATCCCCTGATCTATATAGCTAGGAATTGATAGGAAGACCCTGCGTATATGTATAATATTTTTCATAATAAATAAACACATTATAAAAAAAAACATTTTACTTCATAGACAAAAACCAATATGTTTTACTTTGTGTCCCAAAAGTATTGAAAAATAGATATCT